AAAATAACAATATATTTACACAGATCACTTTGGGTTTTGGAGAAATGATCGAGTCTTGTCGAAGTCAAAGGGGCTCGAGTCCAAGTGAAGTCACGAGTCACTGATGTTAAAGTCCAAGTCGAGTTGCAAGTCTCTTTACATCTTGTCAAGTCGAGTCTAAAGTCTAAATCAAATTGATGACTCGAGTCTGACTCGAGTCCAAGTCATGCGACTCGGGTCCACACCTCTGGTTATTATTATTATTATTATAAGGGTTGTTTGTATGTTTCTAGTGCTGCAGGTCCTACGTTTCCTATACATCTAGTTAAAAAGTTCAACGTTAAACATTTAAATGTATACCCGATTTATTACATTCCTAGTTCATTTTGTTATCGTCCTGATTATTTGCGCAGGTGAGGTTGTCGTAGCAAGTGGCGAAAGCAACCCGCGTCCGCCGCGATACAACGCATGAAAGAGAGCGGCAACTGTCAAAGACAGCGGTGAAGTTTATTGACATTGCTGCACAACAGTTGAAAGGGGCCTGAGCCGTGAGAAAAGAATCCTCTTGTTTCGGTCAGTTGCTCCAAAGAACTTGCACCTGTCACTGAATCCACCGGTGAGGTTTTCAAAAAAAAGACATTTAACTCACCTGCTCTTAGACAAACAGTAGCCTCCAGCCTTTGAATCTTTTTTTTTTTCCCCCTCTTTCATTCTCTCATTTCTCCTTGTTTTTAGTGTTGACTCATCCCTTCGCCAAGACAAATGCAAAACACAAAAAACTGCAGCTATCGGCCGCTACCTAGGCAACACGACAACAAAGAAAAAGCCGTTCTGCTCTCGTGACTGTGGGACATTTTGCACTTTTTTTTTCTTCTCTTCCACCGGTGTAAGGGATACTTGGAATGGAGTGTACCGTGACTTGTTAGGAATGTTACTCGATCGCCACCTTCCGCGATGTTAAGTTCAGACGTTTTCGTGATGTGTTTGTCAAGTAGATTACTTCCTTAAAGTGAATTCTTTTCCTCACTGTGCAGGAGTGAGTGTTGATATCGTGGAAAGACGTTTAACCTTCAAGAAAAATCAAGCTTTCAGTCAACTGGCAACCACGAGAAAGACAAGTCTGGACAGTGAAGACGATATAATACCTCTGACCTCCTTTGTTGTTGATGATCAAGGTGTTTGGTTTCACAAACACCACTCACACTCCGCAGATGGGACTCCTACGTCACAGCTTTTTGGATATAAGTTACATATAAGTGTCGGCATAGACCAGGGGTGCCAAATATGCGGCCCGCGGGCCTCAACTGGTCCGCTAAGTGGTTCAATTTGGCCTGCTTGATACATTTTGAAAGTAGGCTTCGTGTGATATTTTGTAGAAAAAAAAAATGAAATATGAAGATTTTCTAATACATTTCTAGTATTTTTTTTTTTTTTTTTGCATGAAAAAAGGGGGAAAAACACAGACTTAGATTTTCTAATACATTTCTAGTATTTTATTTTATTTTTTGCATGAAAAAAGGGGGGAAAACACAGACTTAGTTGTTATTTATAGGTAATGAGATAATGATTGGACTGGTCCGTCCCACTTGACATCTACTCAGGCTGTATGTGTTCTAGATCAACCAAAAAACACTGCCTACTGTTAATAAAACCAAAATCGAAGCGATACTGCTTATACTCCGTTGTTATGCCCTCTGGCTGGTTTTGCCTCCGTTGTCAGCCATATTTTATCTAATAAGTAGCTGTAACTGCTACATTAGCTGCGCGTACATCCGAGGCAGCTGAACACTGCCTCGGATGAATGTGTGTGTGGGTGAGTTAGTTAATAGGTTCATGTCTTCGCAGCGCTGGGCTGCAAATCTCTCATGGCTGTCTGAAAATCTCGCTAAGATATACAGTAAGTGTCAGGCCTGATGTTTTGTCGGCCCGGAGACTTTTCACGGCTGCTAAATTGGAGCTTGACTGACAGACCCGTCCACTCTCCGCCACACTCTGATGCTCTCTTTGCACAAGGGTTAGGGAGTAATTTGGAATGAGAATGAGAGAGTGCACCATATTTTTTGTTGTTGTTTACTTCTACTTTACCTCACGTTCTCCTATAGGGGAAATATAAACAGAGACAAATAAACTTTGTAAACTAAATCTATCTATCTATCTATCTATCTATCTGTCTATCTGTCTATCTATCTATCTATCCATCCATCCATCCATCCATCCACCCATCCATCCATCCATCCACCCATCTATCCATCCATCCATCCATCTATCCATCCATCCATCCATCCATCCACCAATCCATCCATCCATCCATCCATCCACCCATCCATCCATCCATCCATCCATCCATCCACCCATCCATCCATCCATCCATCCATTCATCCATCCATCCATCATCCATCCATCCATCTATCTATCTATCTATCCATCCATCCATCCATCCATCCACCAATCCATCCATCCATCCATCCATCCACCCATCCATCCATCCATCCACCCATCCATCCATCCATCCATCCATCCATGCATCCACCCATCCATCCATCCATCCACCCATCCATCCATCCATCCACCCATCCATCCATCCATCCATCCATCCACCCATCTATCCATCCATCCATCCATCTATCCATCCATCCATCCATCTATCCATCTATCCATCCATCTATCCATCCATCCATCCATCTATCCATCCATCCATCCATCCATCCATGCATCCACCCATCCATCCATCCATCCACCCATCTATCCATCCATCCATCCATCTATCTATCTATCCATGCATCCATCCATCCATCCATCCATCTATACAGCATTCAAAAACAAACAGTTATAAATGGACATGGAAACTTAATACAATGAATATATTGTAAAGATATGAATAAATGTATTTATACCATATCTTAACACCCTGAAAATTGTATCCACATACTCCCTGTTTCCTGAGTTCCCGTTAGGCCTGAAGACACTGGCCCCCACTCACATTCTTGTACGCGCACACAAATGTACCCAGCGCGCTATAAACGTAACATGCGCTAGCTTGCAAACGGGCTTTGAGGATTTTTCCCTTTTTCGCGGTGGGTCTTGGAATGCAACTGTCGCAAAAAAGGAGAGATTGCCGTATATATCCATTCCGTCCATTTTCCTTACTTTGACAGCGAACAAAGCTTCCTTACCGTACCTTCACCGACGCAGACCTGCTATAACACGACAACGTGTCATCGTAACGGTGTCCGTGTGTGTGTTAGCTTCTTGCGTCTTCAGACAGTATATACACACACGTATGTTTATAAAGCATCCGTGCAGGTCCATCGGTGTGCTGTGATGTATGACAGTGGCATGCCCACACTTCACAGCCTCCAGCGGCCCTGGAAATGCAAATTACAATCAGAGGAGCAGATTGGAGCCGGAGAGGATAATTGCTCCATTATGGCGCTCTGTGTTTGTGTGAGAGCGTGCGTGTGTGTGTGTTATGTGAAGCAGAGAGACGACAGCAGTGATAAAAGATGGCTGCCAAATGCTTCATGCTGATATACAAACCCGGGACAGGTCGAGGTGCCGGAGTCATGGAAAATATCGCTAGGTATTTTGCTACCAATAAGGGCAGAGCTAAGATTAAGCTAATTGTACGTCGGAGTTTTAAAACGTCAAATATTGAGAACCTCCTTCCAACGATCATAATTACAGCTGCTCCTCTGCCCCCAAACCCGCTGGTCGAACGTAGTCGCGAAAGCCTTGAATCGTTTTTGAGACTAGAGGTTTTGCTTGCGTTGTTTTTTTTTAATGTTAGTTAGCATAAATAAATGATCAATTGTTCTAATCATTTGTAGGGTCTTAGTACAGGTGTGCGGGCAAACGTTTTGACTCGTGGGCCCAAAATTTGACAAATGACATGTAACATAAAAGTTCAAATGCTATAGTGTTCGGCGGGCCAGATTTAGAAGTCGAACGGGCCACATCTGGCCCCCGGGCCGTATTTTGCCCACGTCTGTCTTAGACAAACCAACACAATCAAATGCAACAAATGCAACAAAATACTAGCTAGCCAGTCTTCGGCTAGCCATCTTACTGATGGTTCTTCTGAATTGAATTGTCACGTTATATTCTTCATGCGAGTGCTTAGGATTTCGCGTATCTCTTCCCACGGACAAAAACATGCGAAAGCTAACTGGTCGTTGGAAATTGATGATGACTCACACCAGATGTTTGCTGGGATTGGTTTCTGATATCCCAGATTTAGTGGTCAGTGATCAGAAAAGACCCATGGCCTGTTGCATAATTACAATTATCATTAATATTATTATTAATAAGTTACGTTTTTTGATTCCTAAAATTGAAAAAGGGGAGCCGGGTCGGGAGCAGATAGATGGAGCGTTAGTGTGAACTAAGATAAATGACATGTAAAAGTGCATGCATAAAGGCTAAAATGCTAAAATTGCTAAAATGCTTTGATCATTTTTTACCCCATCTACTGGGGAAACGTGGGTATTGCAGGGAAAAAGGCAGACGTAGAATGATAATATAAATAAATTATAGCATTTGGAAAAGTTTGGCGGGCCGGATTGAAAAGCCGAACGGGCCAAAATGCGGACCCCGGGCCTTAGTTTGCCCATTCGTGCTCTAACCCTTAGACTGTAGAAGGTATAATAATTACATTACAATGAGGAGTCTCAACATCTTTGTCCTTTACGTCTGGTGTAAATACATTTTTTTTTTTCCTTTGCGATGTAAAATACCATCAATATGAAACTTAAAACAATGAGAAATAAAATAAATATTTTCTCCTACAATTAGAGGCTAATACTTTGCGGGAAGGAATAAATCCTCCGTCTGTAAATTCTCAATCATATCTTCTTATTGTGTTTGTGTGTCTTAAATCATTTTCTTGTTTGTGTTCCTCACGGGGTTATACCGCTATTATTTCGTCATTAAATGCAGTTTACTTTTAATGTGAAGTCTATTTGCCCGACTCCAGCCTGCGGGCACGTACACGTCTCTGGTCTTCATCGTCGTCATCGTCGTGCTCATCGCAATTGTCATCATTACCCCCCCCCCACCAACCCCCCCATTACTTACTCTCTTTATTTTTCCTGCCACACTGACACCGACCGAGCTCATTTGTCTCACTTTCAGCCCCATCCATCACTCTGTCACTCGACCAGCTCTGATTTCTTCATTTTTTTTTCCTTGACTTTTTTTTTTTACTACATTCATTCGTTTGGAGAAAAAGAAAAGCAAAAGGAGGGCCCGTAGATCAACCGCAACTGTACGAGTTGCTGCCACCTAGTGACTGGAGGCTCGTTATCGTTCAAGCAGGTACATCAGTGGTACACTTTACTGTATCGCCAGCGTCCTCCCCCCGCCCCCCACCAGGGGGCCCCGTCCAGCTCTTTGAGAAGTTGTTGGAAGGCTCCTACACACAAACGTTCCTAGTTCACGTCTCTGCTCCTGACCTGGGACCTGGGACCCACCTAGGATGTGAAGTCGCCTGGGCTGTCTCCCAGTGCATCATGGGAGGTATTAGGATGGAGGAATTATGACATCGCAACGCAAGGTGCTATAAAAAAAAGAAAAAAGGCACAGAAATGTGTCACCGATAGACTTTTGTCGTTTTTTTTTTTTTTTTACGATTTGATTTGATTTGATTTTATGATTGTTTATTCTGCAATTTCCTTAATCGCTTTAGACATTTTTTTTGCCCCCACCCAGGGCTGTTGACAAGCGTGTCATTTCGCAATACCTTATGTGAGCGCTGATAAGATGAGTGAGGAATGAGCCTGTGTGGGACAAATGTTTCATTGAGGAAAGAAGCGAAACATAAATCATTGTGACGGAGCAAGAATGGAGGAAGACGTCCGTCCGTTATCTGCTCGCACACGCGCTGTCAGGGATTTATAATACACGGCTTTTATAGCGCCCTTACACACTTTTCTCTCTCTCTCTCTCTCTCTCTCTCCCTCTCTCTCTTTCTCTCACTCACTCGTTCTTTCTTTTCTATTTTTCTCTCTTTTCTAACCCGCTCTTCAATTTTGACCTTTCCAATTTTGACGTTTCCCTTTTTGTCCCTTTGTCATATAAAACAAAAATAAACACGTATGAAACTTTAATGAAAATGAAAATATAATTGTACATATTTCCTCTCGAAATTGGGTGAAAACACTTTCTAAGAACAAAATAAATATGTATAAATAATTTAAATAAAATTAATATAATTATATATATATTTCCTCTCAAAATTGGGTGAAAATAGTTTCTAAGAACAAAATAAATATGTATAAATAATGTGAATAAAATGAATATAATTATACATATTTCCTCTCGAAATTGGGTGA